AACTTGCAATCCTTCTGCCCCAGCCTCCCAGGTTGCTGGGATTACAGCTGTGTGCCATCACCCCCAACTTAAATGCATAATTTAAAAAAAAAATTTTTTTTGTTGTTGTTACTGGAGATTGAGTCCCTACCACTGAGCTATGCCCCCAGCCATTTTATTTTGAGACAGGCTCTCAGTAAGTTCTTGAGGCTGGCCCCAGCCTCTGAGTTGCTGGAATTACAGGTGTGTGCCACCATTCCCAGAACTCAAATGAATTTTTAAAATGATTAAAGAGGAAACAGTAAATGCTTTATTTTAGAATTAGGAAGAGGGCAATAATATTAAATTGAAGAGGGCTGGGGTTGTGGCTCAGTGTTAGAGCACTTGCCTAGCATGCATGAGGCACTGGGTTAGATCCTCAGCATCACAAAAAACAAAAAATAAAGATAATGTGTCCACCTAAAACTAAAAAATATTTTTAAACAATATTAAATTGAAGAAAAGATAGCAGAAGGAGTAAGTGCAGTTAAAATCAGAAGTTGATGGCTTGGTTAATATTTTTTAAAGTCTAAAATAAGTAGATCCAAAAGATGGACAAAGCCCTGTAAGTGCTAATCAAGAGAAAAAAACAATGTTGCATTAGGAATAAGATACAATATAGCTACACAGAGCATTTTAAGAAAGTATAGAATAAAATATTAAAAATAAGCTGTAAGTTGGGCTTGGGTGGTGGCTCAGTGAAAGAGCACTCGCCTCGCACACGGGAGGCCCTGGGCTCCATCCTCAGCACCACATATAAATAAACGAATGAAATAAATGTATTGTGTCCAACTACAACTAAAAAATAAATATTAAAAAAAAATAAGCTGTAAGTAATTTCTAAAAATGTTCAAGTGCCATTGTCAAACAGGCCAATGGGCGACTGTGGAAGACACTAGAATATTTTTTGAATATGTAATAAAAATAAAAGCTGTCAAGCCCGGACGTCTTCCCAGGGTGGCTTAGTGCTGGGGTTCAAGGTGCACGACTCTGGATGGTCCTGTAGGCCAAGCTCCCTGCCAGCGAAGGCCAGCGTGCAGCCCCCCACGCCCCAGCTCTCCCACCTTAGGGGGGTGGGGGGGTCCCCAGGGACTCCCCACAGGTGGGTCCACGTGGCTGCTGCTGCGAGTGGGAGCTCAGGCCAGCGACTCGCCTCCCCGGGCCGTGGCAGGAATCGAGGTCCCCAAAGCTGTCGCAGAGGTGAAGACACACAGAGAACTTGGGGGGCAAAAGGCAGACAGTGTCCCTCAGTGTCCACAGAAGATTGTTCTAGAACAATCTGGAGACCAAAATCCATCCGAAGTCCCTTCTGTAAAATCATGCACTGTTGCACCCCAGCTGGGCACATCCTCTGTAGCCTTCAAATGTCCCTTGGGGACTTAGGAAACCAGATATAGTGTCACGGCCCTGTAAAGAGGTGTCTTGTAATCCCAGTGGCTTGGGAGACGGAGGCCAGAGGATGGCGGGTTCAAACCAGCCTCAGCAACGGTGGGGCCCAAGCAACTCAGGGAGGCTGTGTCCCTAAAGAAAATACAGAACAGGGCTGGGAGGTGGCTCAGTGGTCAGTGCCCCTGAGTTCAGTCCCTGGTACCAAAAAAAAAAAAAGAGTTGTACTGTGTTATTTAGGGAATCACAACAAAGGAAGATGTCGGAACGGGTTCAACACACTTTTCTTTTTTCTGGAATGTGCTGGGTGTCTGGTGGGTGGATCCCGCGGAGGCAGAACCCCTGGACGCAGCACCTGCCCACACTCGGCCATCTGCATTCATAACTCCCAGTGACGACGGGTCAGGTCAGGGTCAGCACCTCACGGCCTCCCGGACCACATGGCGCCAGCTGGGCACGGTCCTACCTTGGTAGATGATTGGGCACAAAAGTCAAATGAAAAAAAGAAGAAATTTCTAGAAAATTCTGATTTCACTGCCCTTAGGGAAGTCTTCCTAGCGCACCCACCACTTGGGTACAGATCAGCTGCAGCTGCTGTAGCAGGGACCGGGCCGTCACCTGTGAGGCTGGACGCCCCGAGCTCTGGCCTCCACAGGGGGAGCTGGCCCAGCACCACAGCCGCAGGCGGGGCAGCTGAGGAGGGCGGAGGCTGAGCATCCCGAATCCAAAGCGTCCCCAAGTCCCAAAGTTTGAGCTGCAGCAGAAGGCCCCAGTGGACAATCCCACACCCGGGAACTGTCCCCTGCACAGACGTGAAGTTTCAGTTTTTCACTCCAGATACAAGAATCAGTGCGTGTGGGAGGGGTGGACGGAGCACCATGTCCTGTCCCCAAGATGCTCCACCCCAGACCTGGGCGTGCACAGTCCCGAATCCAAAAACCCAGTTTCCGCCGCTCTCCCGGCCACGCGCTGTGGCAAGGACTACCGGCCACTTGGTCCCTTTCAGGAGTCACCGTGGGGCTCTGAGAGGCCGAGGGCGCTGGGGTCTCACGCTCTGTCCCCTCCTCGCAGCGCATTCTGGAGGACAAGGAGGAGAAGCCGCTGCCCGCCGCCCTGGTCCAGCCCCACACGGGGACGCTGCGCTGGTTCCTGGACGAAGCGGCCGCCCGCCTCCTGTCCGTGCCCTTTGAGAAGCATTCCACGTTGTAGCCGGCAGGGGGACGCCAGGGCCACCAGGGCCACTGAGGCTGTGCGCCAGGGACCTCCCGGGGCTGGGCCCCTCTGGCCACTGCTCCCGGCTGCGTTTGGGAGGAGCCACGTGGTGCTACGAGAAGGAAGGGACCTGGCCGCCAGCTCTGCCTGGCAGGGTCAGCCACGCCGTGGGCCGGTGACCTGGGTATTAAAGGGAGCATTGCTGGAAGTCCCCACTGTCCTGTGGTCCTTCACGACAGCAGCCCTGGGGACCCCGCCCGCAGCCTGGCCCATTGGCACAGGGTGGGGCCTGATGTCCCCTGGGCCAGGGCACCTGGTGTGGCCGAAACAAAGTTCCACAAACTGGGTGGCCGAGGACAGGAGAGAGTCACCCTGTCCTCGCTGTGGCAGTGGGAAGTCCCAAGTCAGTGTGGGGGGCGGGTTCCCAGAGGCCCCGAGGCAGGCTCCACCCCAGGCCTCTCCTGCTTCTGGTGGCCACTGCCTTCATCCTTGGCGTCCCTGGGCTTGGGGACGCCTCGCTGCAGTCACAGCCTCTGTCTTCTCGTGGCTGTCACCTTGTCTGTCTGTCTGTCCTCCCGCTCCTCCTCCTTCCTCTGCGGTGCCAGGAGGTGAACCCAGGGCCTCGCACGGGCGAGGCCACCACTCAGTAGTGGCTCCACCTCCGAGCCGCGCCCAGCCCTTTTGATCTTATTTTGGGTCAGTCTTGCTGAGTTGCCCAGGCTGGCCTTCAACTTTCGATCCTCCTGCCTCAGCCTCCAGAGTGGCTGGGATCACAGGTGTGTGCCACCGTGCTCGGCCTCTCTCCTGTTGTTAAAAGGACGGCCGTGGTTGGAATTGGGACCACCCTAAGGAGTCCCCTCTGCAGAGACCCTCATTACAGATCATGTCACATTCTGAAGTTTCAGGGTCAGGACGTGGACCCGTTCTGGGGGCCACAGTTCCTCCTCAGCACACGTCCCCTGAGTGCTGACTGCCCGGCAGGGCCAGCGGTGGCCCCTGGGTCTGGCTGATGGCAGGCCTGCTCAGCACCTGAGGCCACCAGTGTGCCCAGTTCTGCCCAGAGTGGCGCTGGGCTGTCTCCCCAGGGTGCCCGCCGCTGCCCACCCTGCAGCTTCTCCCAGCTCCAGGGACCCCACTCAGGAGGCCGGTGGCACCTGGACTGCTCAGCCCTGCGCAGCTCTGGGGGCTGGGGGGGTCCTGGGGCAGCCCCGCAGGCTGAGCGCAGGTGGGAATTGAAACTGCCTCTGGAGGCAGCTGCGCGGGAGGGAGGGAGGGGGAGGGAGGCCGGAGCCACAGAAAGTGAAGTTCCCTTGGACATCTGGTCCCCTAGAGAGGAAGTGGGGCGAAGCCTGAGCGGAAACTGCCCGAGAACCAGCGCCGAGCGGAGCAGGAGGGAAGCGGCTGCGCTCTCAGTAGGGCAGCTGCGGGGGAGGCTGGGTGGATGGAGGCTGGGTGGATGGAGGCTGGGCGGGGCTGAGCGCAGAGGAGGGGGAGGTGGGTGTGAGGACCTGGGGCAAGGGCCCTGCGGGGCGTGTGGCCATCTCCATCCCTGCTATGCCACATTCCAGCCGCAGGGCCTTTGCATGTGCTGTGCCTGCTGCCCAGTTGTCCCCTTTTCCAGCTCTCTGCCTAGCTTGGCCCTCGCTCCTCTAGGTCCTCAGGCCACCTTCCCCTCCCCCTAGGCATTTGCCATCCCCCCCTCCATTGCCCCCACCCTTATTATCTGACAGTTTGGTCACTGTGTTTATTTGCTCCCCTGTGACTGATGGTCCCTGGTGGTCTATTTTTTGCCACTTCTGCACCCTCTGCTGCGTGGAGTGATGTTGAAAGAAAAGATGAATGCTGTGGTATTCACGCAGGGCATGTTCAGATGTGACAGATGGCTTCAACAAAATAGAAGTTCATGTCTTTCTCTGGAGAGAAGGCAGCCAGGGATGATGGAGCAATGTCATAAACTCTTGGGGACCCCAGTTCCTTCTACATTATTGCTGTGCCAACACCATCATGTGGGATCTACCTCATGGTGCAAGGGGACTGCTTATGCTCTAGCCATTGTGTCTGTGTCTCAGCCACTGGAAGAGGAAGAAGAAAAGGAGATTGACTCTAGGGAAGCATCCCGGGATTTACCCCAGACACTTCTGCTCACATCTTCATGGCTGGACTGTGTAGCACAGCCCCGTGTAGCCGCAAGGGAGGCTGGGAGACGTTATCCATTTAGTAGCCTTGTAATGGAGACCCCAGGGAATGTGCTGTGTTCACTCATCAGAGCCCCTGGGCTGGGGGCAGGGCAAGGAGAGGGAGGGGGCTGGTGATGGGCTGGGGGGTGGGGCAGTGCCGAAGGACTTGGGGTGAAGCCTCAGGGTCCCCCCTGTTTCCTTCGAGGATCCCCATCCTCTAGGACCCCAGCTTGGGGACTTGTGGGGACTTCTAAGCCAGAACTGGGTCCTCTCCAGACCCAGCGTCGCCCAGCACAGGGAGGCACAGGTGGGGGGTGGACGCCAGGACTGAGGTGCCCTTCATGTCCATCCCCCTTCCCTGCCCCCACACCCGACTGCTGTCCTGTCCTGCTGCATGTCTGCCCTGCATCTCTCCCCCAAAGCCACTCAGGGCTTTCCCCCCCTGTCCCCACAACCTCCCCTGGGACTGCCCCAGAGAAACCACCAGCTCTGGGAGCTTGGCCCCCGGGGACTGGAGGAGGACACAGGTGCAGGGCGGGGCAGGTTGGCATCTGCACCCCTACACCCCGCCCTGCCGGCTTCTGAATGGCCACGCGCCCAGGCCACCAGGCACCTTGTTCCTGGGGTGTCCCGTGCCCAGCAACCTGGGAGGCTGTGGGGAGAAGCGGTGTCCTCTCCACCCCAGGGGCCCCGGGGACCACAGCAGGATGGGGGCCCGGCCCTCCAGTCCCCTGGACAAGCAGCAGCAGCAGCAACTGAAGGGTGAGCCGGGGGCGGGGCGGGGGGGCACGGCCGGCAGCCGGGTGAGCCCAGGGCGGCAGTGACTTCCAGACGGAGCGGTGATTTCTAGGTATAAGTCTGTTCCAGGTTTTGCATGGGATAGACTTATGCTGGACAAGGCTCCTTATTTAAATGAATTCAAATGTGACTAATGTTCTGCATTTTTATTTGGTGAATCCGATGACCTGTTTGGGGCAAGGTTTCAAAGTATGGGGCATGGGACTAGGTGGGAGGTGTCCTGGGCACAGTTGGGCCCCAAAGGATGGCCCTCCTAGGTGGCTGGGCCCAGCAGGTCCCTCTGCATGCCCTGGGGACTGAGGAGTCAGAGCCAGAGTTGGTGCTGTCTGAGTCACTGTGTTCCCTCATATTGAGATTGAGCACCTACTGTGTGCTGAGTCCTGGGGACATGGTAAGGAAAGAGGGACAAGTCATGGTCAACCAAATGGCAGTTGGACTGGAAATCACGGTGGGAGTGACAGATGGAGATGGAAGAGGGGAGACGGGGTCACATGAGGGCTGGGGCGTGTGGTGGAGTGGGCAGGCAGGAGATGTGGGAAGAGCATTGCGTCCTGGGAGGAACTGCACGTGTGCAAGGGTCTGTGGCGCGTGTTGCAGACTGCCCAAGTTCAGAATCAGGTGCTGGCCTCCCTCACTGTGCCCTTGGTGAGTGCTGTCCCCTGTCTAGGACTTATTCTCCAGTCTGTTGACAGGCAGCGAAGCCTGTCCTGGAGCGCCGCTGGAAGGACACCTGTGCGGACTTGGGATTTTTTTTTTATATATATATATAGTGGTTTAAACAAGGTTAAGATTTAGCTGGGTGTGGTGCTGTACACCTACAATCCCAGCTACTTGGGAGGCTAAGGAAAGAGGATTGCAAGTTCAAGTTCAGCCTGGGCAGCTTAGTAAGAGGCTGTCTCAAAAAATAAAGAGGGCGAGGATGTGGGGAAAGGCCCACTCATACACTGCTGGTGGGACTGCAAATTGGTGCAGCCAATCTGGAAAGCGGTGTGGAGAGTTCTGGGAAAATTGGGAGTGGAACCACCATTTGACTCAGTTGTCCCTGTCCTCGGTCTATACCCAAAGGACTTAAAAACATCATACCACAGGGACACAGCCACATCCATGTTTATAGCAGCACAAGTCACAGTAGCTAAACTGTGGAGCCACCCTGGATGCCCTTCAGTGGGTGAAGAGACTGGCACACACACAGGGGGATGTCACTCGGCATTAAAAGCCTGTGAAAGTCCCCAGGCAAAGGGGCGGGAGGACTCCTGGGATGTGAGGGGTCCGCTCCAGCTCTGAGTTTGGTGACCCTGGCGTGGATGTGTGACCGGGCCGGTGCTTTAGACTGAATGACATTTACAGTAAGACACCAGCGAGGCCCGGGTCCCCGGAGCCCGGGGAGACGGTCGGGCGTTGAGGGTGAACGGGATTCAGGACAGGTCTCCTCGGCAGCTTCAGGGGTCCCCATCTGTTCTCCTCCCCGGCAGCTGTTTAGGGCCCAATGGGGCCGCTGTCCCTTTGTCCCCGCAGGTGAGGTGGACGTCCTGCTGAGGAACTTCCTGCCTTGTTACCGCAGGCAGCTGGCCGCATCTGTCCTGAGGCAGATCTCCAGAGAGCTGGGCCCCCAAGAGCCAGCCGGATGCCAGCTGTTTCGCAGCAAAGTGGGTGCCACTGGGTGCAGGGGCCTGAGTGTCCGGGCCTCCTCAGCCCACAGGCCCTGCCACGGCCTTAGCAATATTCATCTTTGGAACAAATGTTCCCTGTGTGTGTGCTTCACACCGCATCCCTGTTAGGTCCCTAAGGACACACGGTGGTGGCAGAGGCTCACAGCCTGTCATCCCAGCAACTCAGGAGGCTGAGGCAGGAGGATCACAAGTTGGAGGCCAGCCTCTGCCACTTAGTGAGGCCCTCAGCAATTTAGTGAGATCTTCTCAAAATAAAATATAAAAAGGGCTGGGGCTGCAGCTCAGGGGTAGAGCACCCCTGAGTTTAATTCCCAGTACCCAAAGGAAAACAGAAGGAAGAGGAGGTGGAGGAGGAGGAGGAGGGCAGTCGTTAGAGAGTGGTGTTGGCTGCCGTCCTAGCTGCTCGGGAAGCTGAGGCAGAGGATCCCTTGAGCCCAGGAGTTGGAGGCCAAGCTGGGCAACAGCTCAGGAGGAGGAGGAGGAGGAGGGGCGGCATCTGGGACATAGCCAGAGCTGTCCAGGTGACAGGGAGCTGGGACACCAGCCCGCACCCTCAGCATCCCCTGGTCCTTCCTTGTGCAGAAGCTGCCGCGCGTCCGCGAGCACCGAGGGGCCCTGATGCACCTGCAGGGCCACCCGCCCCGGTGGCAGCCGGTCTTCTGCGTTCTCCGTGGGGACGGTCGTCTGGAATGGTTCAGGCACAAAGAGGTGCGCGGGTGCAGAAGAAGGGACTGCTTCTGGTGTCTTCCGTCCTGCCTTCTCCCGGCACCATGCGGGGCCAGCGCTGGCACCGGGATGCATGAGAGCCCTGTGCGCTTGGCCTGGGTGGGCGACCGCCTCGTCCCATCGCCTGAGCTGGGAGAGATCACTCTCTGGGACTCGGTTGCGCCTCCATGAAATGGGGCGAAGGTGTTCCGCTGCGCAGGGAAAATGCTCCTGGGGACCCGGTCCCGCTCAGCGCGGAGGGGGCGGGGCGCTGGGGCAGGGGGGAGGGGCTGGGCAGGGGGGAGGGAGGGAGGCCGGTGGCATTTTCAGCCCACAGCACCTGTCCTGGATTCTGTAGGAATATGAAAGCGGGCGCCGTGTCCTCGGCTCCACCGCCCTGACGGGGTACACGCTCCTGACGTCCCAGCCTGAGTACCTCCGCCTCCTGGACGCGCTGTGCCCAGACTCCTCCGGTAGGGCTCCTGAGTCCCCAGAAGCAGGCTTCTCCGCTCAGCATGTCCTTGGAGCCGGGGACCACCCTGGGTGCACGGCGGGAGCTGAGCAGCCCCCCTGGCCTCACACACTGCGGCAATCCCCCCATCCCAGACGTGACCCCAACAGAGTCTCCAGATGTCACTGCCCCTGGCAGAGAGAGCAGCATTGCCCCTGGGGGAGCTCTCCCCCTCTGGGAAGAAAACCCACTCTCTCCAGGCTGAGAGGAGCAGTTAGGTCACCCGAGGGGAACCGAAACAGCAGCGTTGGTAAAAGCCAGAAAACCCAGAGTCAGCAGGCTCGTGGGGAGACGGACACTGGGGGAGGGGAGGTCGCCCAGATTTGGCTGCAGGGTTCATCTATCTGCTGAGGGCTCCTGAATGTGCAAGTGTGAGTGTGTGTGTGTCCCCCTTTCTTTCTCTCTCTCCCTCTTTCTCCCTCTCTCTTCCTCTTCCTCCTCCAACATGATGCAAAAAAAGGTTTAGGGTAAGAAGCAACACCCCTGGGCCAGGGTAGGCTTGGGGGTGCTATCTTGTGCCTGCCCAGCCGGCAGCCTCTTCACTGATGACCCCATTTCACAGATGAGGGTGTTGAGGCTGAGGAATGTCCCACGGTTGGTAAGGCACAGAGCCAAAATCCCACCCTCGGCTTCACTGCCAAGCTCATTCTACCAGCAAACCAGGCAGAGGAAGTGCGCGGCTGCTGATTAAGGCCAACGCCCTCCTTCCGGCTGCTTGAGTCAATGATGGCCCTGACAAGCACCTGCCGAGGGAGCCCCAAACACCAAGGGGCAGAACAGCCAGTGACAGACCGGAGACCCCGTCTGTTTCACAGATGCCCCCCACACATTTGCATGTAGACTTTATTTTTTAGTTTTTATTTATTTTGCAGGGCTGGGGATGGAACCCAGGGCCTCATGGGTGCTGGGCAAATGTCCACTGCTGAGCCATGCCCCCGGCCCACATGCAGACTTCAAAATCTGGATCGTGTCCAGATTTTTATCTCTGAGCTGGGAGGTCCAGGAATTTCCACTACCTGAATTTTTGGGTCTTTTCACAGTCTGTATGTGCACTCTAGAAATTAGAGCAAAATACTGAGGACTGAGGAGACCCCAAGTAAATTCCCCAAAATACACTCATTTTGCCCAATTTCCAGTTCTAGGTCATCAGTATCATATTAAGTCCATTTTATGGGCAAGAAAACTGAGGCTCAGAATGAGGAAAAAGTGTGCCCTATTTGGCCAGGCACGATGGCACATGCCTGTAATCCCAGCAGCTCAGGAGGCTGAGGCAGGAGGATCATGAGTTCAAAGCCAGCCTCCGTAATAGTGAGGCTGTTAAGCATTTCAGGGAAACCCCATCTCTAAGTAAAATACAAAAAGGGCTGGGGATGTGGCTCAGTGGTCGAGTGCCCCTGGGTTCAATTCCCAGTATGGGGAGAAAAAAAAAAGTGCACAATCTGTTGAGTCAGAAAATAGTTCAGCCAGGTTTGACCCGAGGCCTGACTGACTCCAGAACTCCCGGAAACAGCTCTTGGATGTGTCCCAGCGGGGATGGATTGGTGATGGCTGCCTGGAAGCTGTGCTGAGGAGGAAGCTGGGCTGGGGAACAAGGGCTGGGATGGATTGGTGATGTCTGCCCTGGGCATACAGGGGAGGAACAGGGCCGGCCTCAGGAGTGTTCTGAAGACTGGCAGCTACACCGAGGGGGTTCATGATCATTGAGGGACTCCCCTTCCCGGAGGCTGCCGTATGTATTTTGTGGGTATCTTTTAGTGACTGAATGGATGAATGATGACTTGCCTTCTTCTGGGCTGCTTTCAGGGGACCATGTGCAAGAAGAGACTGAACCCCTCTTGGAAGCGCCCGTGAGTTTCCCCCTATTCCTGCAGCACCCCTTCCGCAGGCACCTCTGCTTCTCTGCAGCCACCAGAGAGGCACAGCGAGCCTGGCGTCTAGCCCTGCAGGGTGGCATCCGACTTCGGGGCACAGGTAGGTCGCAGGAAGTTTTAGGCAGTAATGGGGCTCGGGGTTTGGGATCAGATGGCTCTGTCATGTGGGACATCTTCATATCTCAGTTTTCTTATCCATAAAATGGGTTGCTGGGGAAGATAAAAGGGACACCAGGCAGTTGTGAGAACAGTAACACCAGGGCTGTGACCGGGACACAGACCATGCCCTGCGGGAGCTCAGCCTTTGGGGTGAGGGAGGTCTTTCCAGAGGAGGAGATGTTGAAGCTGAAGTCTAGAAAAGATGAGGGGTCAGCCAGGTGAAGAAGGGAAACAGGATGGGCACATGCAGTTGAACCGGTTGTTGACTGCACAAACGTACCCCCCCCCACCTCCAGGGGCAGTTAGGGGCTTCCGTGTGGCCCGAGCTGCTGACCAGGGGCTGTGGTTGCTCATGGGGTTTCCCTTCCTCAGTGGAGTCAGGGTGCCTTATGGTGGAGGTGGTCCTGCAGGTGTGCGTTTTCTGCGGGAGGGTTCTGCTTGTGCCGAGATGCGGGGGTGGGTGGCACTTGGTGCTCCTGGTGAGCTGAGGGCCTCTCCGGCTGTTGGGGAGCCAGGCTGGGGGGGGGGTGCCCTGAGGAGCCGCCCTTCAGTCCTGCAGCGGAGCCAGGCGCCGGCTGCCCGGGCCTTCCTGGAGGCCGTCCGGCTCTACCGGCAGCACCGCGGCCACTTTGGCGAGGACGACGTGACCCTCGGCTCCGATGCGGAGGTCAGTGCTCCGCCCGGCGGCATCGGGAGCCCGGGACGCCTGCGGCCGGCCCGGCGCCCACGCCCCGTCTTGCAGGTGCTGGCCGCTGTGCTGATGCGGGGGCTGCTGCCGGCGACGCGGGCCCAGAGCCTGCCGGACCCGCGGGGAGCTGGCCGCGCCCGGGCCTGGGCCTGGACGGAGGTACCGGGGTGTGGCCGGTGGGAAGGTGAGGGGCGGTGGCCCGGGTTCCCGACCCACGACGTCGCCTAACTCTCGCGTCCTCTCCCGCCCCCGGTCCTGGGCGCTGGTCGGGCAGCTCGCCGACGCCGTCTACGCCGCGGTCCTGGCGGGCGCCTCGGCGGGGCTCCGCGCCTTCCAGCCGGAGAAGGACGAGCTGCTCGCGTCCCTGGACAGGAGCCTCCGCCCGGACCTCGACCAGATGCTGCAGCTGCGGGCGCGCGTGGCGGGGAGGCTGCGGGGTGAGGCCGCGGGGTGAGGCCCCCCGCGGGAGGCCGGGTGTGGGGGCGGAGCCAGAGCAGAGGGCGGGGCCTGGGAACCCTGGAGGGGGCAGGGCCGGCACGGGAAGGGGCGGGGCCCAGAGGCCGGGTGGGCGGGGCCTGGGGCGGAGCGCGGCCTGGGAGCAGGTGGGTCAGGGAAGGTGGCGGCCTGGAGGGCGCTGTGGTCCAGGCCCTGCTGAGCCGGGGTCCCGCCCGCACCCGTCCTTGGGGTGCTCTGTGGAGACCTCAGGCCGGTGCCTTCCACAAGCAGCGGATGTCCAGGGCCCGCTGAAGGCCTGCCTGCGCCGGAAGGTGGACACGCGGCTGTCCCAGGTCACGCAGACGCTGCTGAGCACCGTGGAAGCCGCGCTCGACGCCGTGCGCACCCTCCTCGCCCAGGGCATGGACCGCCTGTCCCGCCACCTGCGTGGGAACCCCTCCGGCGCGCGGCTGCGCAGAGAGGTGAGCCCGGGGGAGTGGGACCCGCGGGTGGCAGGTCAACTGTACCCAAGGGCCACGCGAACCTTGCTTCCTTCCTTTGCAAATCCTTCTCTGATCTTTGTCTGAGGCTGCTCTTTATCGATTGTGGACCTTGGTGGAAGTCCCCTCAGCACCACGCGACAGATATTCTGCCTCAGTTTGAAACGTGAGCGGAGGGCTGGGCTGTGGCCCAGTGGTTTGCCTGGCACGTGGGAGGCACTGGCTTCGATTCTCTGCTCCGCGTGTAAGGAAATAAATAAATAACCAATAACTAAAATAACAAAAACAAAAATGTGAGCAGAGCTGGATGCGTGGCTAATCCCAGCTTCTCGAGAGGCTGAGGCAGGAGGATCGCGAGTTCAGAGTCAGCCTCAGCAAAAGCGAGGCACTAAGACCCTGCCTCTAAATAAAAAATAAAAAGGATTCATGTGGCTCAGTGGTTAAGCGCCTCTGAGTTCAATACCGCTTACCAAAAATAAAGAGAGAGAGAGAGAAGAGAAAGAGAGAGAGAGAGAGAGAGAGGGAGGGAGGGAGGGAGGGAGGGAGGGAGGTGAGAGACTCCGTTTATGCAGCCCCAGACCCCAGCAGAAAAAGGACATCAGGTGTTGCTCACAGAGGTGATTCCCACAGGGAGCGTGTGTCCATTTACTCTCATTCATGCCAACACCACTTGTTATCGCTTTTTTCAGGTTTTCTATTTTATGTCCATCTCACCAAACCTGTTACTTACTACAAGGTTTTTGGTGACAACTGAGGTGGGATGTGTCTCCACTTGCATTTCTCCTTCAGCAAATTGGCCACAGGGACCTTGGCCTTGCTTTTCTATCCATTGATGGGTTTTCTTACCCAACCCCCCGGAGCACAGGTTTACGCGTTTGGGGAGATGCCCTGGGACCCGGAGCTGATGCGGAAGTGCTATCGGGAGGCCGAGCGCAGCCTTGGAACCCTGGGGCAGCTGGCAGCACCGTTCGGCTTCCTGGGGACACAGAGCTTGGTGTTTGGGGTCCAGGATCTTGCACAGCAGGTGAGGGAGGGCAGGAGGCTGTGGGGGAAGAGTGGCCTCCACGGAACAGTGGCCAAGCTGTGCTAGGGGACCCCGGTGACCGGCAGAGCTGACCTGCATGTCAGAGGCAGGGATTGAGATGATCCGGTGCTGCCTGGCACAGTTGTTCAGTTTGCACACTGCACAAGAACCCTTGGCAGTAGGGGTTGAACTCCAGCTGGGTCTCTACTTCCCAATCCAGGTGCCCTGGCACCTCCCCTCTTCCTGAGGTGAGAGGTGGGTGGAGGAGGGGGTGGGGAGCTGGCTGACCAGGGCAGGCTGGAGGGCGCTGGGCAGGCAAGTCATCTCAGCTCCTCTTCCCACAGCTCATGGCCAACGCCGTGGCCACCTTCCTGCAGCTGGCCGACCAGTGTCTGACCACCTCCCTGGACTGCCAGCAGGCGGCTGAGCAGCTGGGGAGAGTGGGAGGGCGGGTGCTGAAGGTGAGGTCTGCCGGGAGGGTGGGGTGGGCCTGGCTGCCTAAATGGCCGCGGACCGGCCCCTGGGCGTATCCTGCAGAAGTTCCAGTCGGACGGCGAGGCCGAGCAGCGCAGGTGCGTCCGGGGCTGGCTGCTGAGCATCTTCCTGCCCTTCGTGCTGAGCCAGCTCCAGCGGAGCTGCAGAACTGTGAGTTCCCGGGGGCGGGGCGGGCGTTGGGCTCTCCGTAGAAGGGACAGTGCGCTTCCTCCCTGACAAAGCCACTGTGCCCATCAGAGGCTTTTCTTCCCTGATCCTGGGACGGGACCAGGTGGCTCTTCTGGGTCCTCTGCCTTTCTCATGACCCTTGACCTGCCACCTGACGGCTGGGCGGGTCCCTGTGTTGCTGGATGGAGGAGGGAAGAGGCAGATGCACAGTATGTGAGTTGCCAGGTGTCAGGAAGGGTCTCTCTGAGAAATAACACTTGAAAAGCAAGGAACTAAAGGTACAAGCTGTGTGTCCCTGGAGGGTGTTCCAGACAGAGGGCACAGCACATGCAAAGGCCCTGAGGCAGGAGTGTATCTAACCACCTCTTAAAGGACCCATCTCTCATTGCATGCACTGGGGACTAAATTTCTAACTCATGAACTCTGGGGACAGGGTCAGACCATAGACCTTGCTAATGCTGTTCATCTGCACAACAACCCTCGGGGATATGGGTCACCGAGTCCATTTTACAGATAAGAAAACGGAGGCCCAAGTTCCCCCAGCTAATCGGGGCCCAAACCCACATCCTGGGTGTATAGAGGTCCTTGTCCCCAGGGTAGCCTGTAACTCCCCACAGTTCCAGAAGCTGCCTGAGTTTGAGGGGGACGTCCTTGCCATGGGCAGCCAGGCCCTGACCATCGAGGGCATCTACGAGGATGTCATCCGGGAAGTCTTGCTGCAGAGGATTGACCAGGGTGAGCCCGCCCCGCGGTGCCTCAGGAGGCTGGAGGCCCTGGCTGCCCCCACTTCTTGTGACACTTTCCCTTTAACCTGGGTCGGGACTGGGGTCCGGGTTCCCAGGTGGACAGTGACGGGCTCCCTGAGGGAGGGGGCATCTGAGCAAGGCCATGACAGCTGTGTGGGGTCCTCAGGATCAGAGGGAGGCGGCAGAGCTCAAAAGCTGGGGACAACCCCCAGGTCAAACCCAAATGATGAGACTAGGAGTGGGCTTTTACCCCCGCTTCACGCTGGGCTGGTGCCGAGGCTCCCGGGGTACTCAGGCTTGGGCAGACCCCTCCAGAGCTCCTGGGCTGGGAAGCAACTCTAGAAACATCTCCCTCCGGTCTGTTTGCCCGTGAGCCTGTGACCCCAGAGACGTGTGTCTGCGCGCACGGTGGGCTGGGGGTGGGCATCAGGCAATGGCAATTCAGGGATGTCATGGCATCTGTGTGCCATCTTGCTGGCACACAGGTGTGAGAGGGAGGCTGGAGGCTGCTGGAGCCGATGGGCAAGGACTTGGAGGACAGGAAGAGGAATTTGGACTTTATTGTTTAGGCAATAGGGAGCCATAGAGGGTGTGTGAGCAGAGGGGGAGAGCAGTCACACTGGAAGCTACGAAGGAGGCTGTGGTCCCCATGATCCTGGGGACAAAGAGTAGGCCCAAGCAGAGGCAGCAACCAAGGGGAGCCCAGAAGCGAGGTCAGGAACAGAGAGGAATCTCAGAAGAGCCTGTATTTGAAGGCACAGAGGGGAGGAAGGAGCATAGGAGGTCAGAGAGGTGGCAGAAACCAGAGACGCTGCCATCCCAGGAGCCAGGGAATCCGGGCGAGGCTGTCCTTGCCTGTGGGTGGCCCAACAGGACCAGGATGCCTTAGAACAGCAGGAGTTTTAAATGAAAAAAAAAAAAAGAAAGAAAAGAAAAAGAAAAAAGATATTCTCTGACTGCAACATTCAGTCCAGATCCAGGGGCCTCGGTGAGTTTCCGGTCCTGGAGGTGCTGTGGGTCCTTCAAGGCTCCATTGTCAATTGATTTCTGATGTCTGTACAGACCAGTGTATTGGGAGGGGCTGGTGGTCTCCAGGTTGGATGAGGGGTGCGAGGCTCGGTTAGTCATGTCTGCTGCTGACAGGGGCATGGCAAGAGGCTCCCTGAGCGCCCCCGGCTCAGGATCCTGGTTAAGACCTCGCCTCGAGCCTTGGCGTCTGGTGGCCTCTCTAGGAGAGTGCACAGCAGCCCCTGGGCCCCTGGGCCTCCCCAGATGCATCCAGGGGCTTATCTCTTACTTCAGAATTGAAAAAGGGCCTTGGCACCAGCGACTCGCCCTGCGCTCAGGTTGATGTCTCGGAGGCCCCGTGGCACCAGGAGGGAGCAGGTAAGACCGCGAAGTTTCCCCAGCGCTCAGTGAGTTGCTAAGGGGCCCCGGGCAGTGCAGGGTGCATGGTCTTCTGAGGAGTATGGCTTTGGGGATGGAACAGCACGTCTCTCCTGTCCTGAACTGCTAGGTGGGCCAAGCTGGTGACCATCAAGGTGATGAGAAGCCACCGTCGATTCTCTGAGCTGCAGAAGGACCCTGTGGGCCCTGGCTCTGACAGGCATGTGGGCTCAGCCCTGGGAGCTGAGCCGGTGCTGAGCCTGTGACCCATCTCTTCCGGCCAGGACAAAGCAGGGTGCTTCCCATCAGCTGCTTCCTGTCCTCAACAGGAGGAGGGGACATTGTGGCCATGGGATGACCCTTGAGTCTATCATCAGTGAGGGCACTGCGAGATGGGCGTATTGAGGGGTCAGTTTGTTACACAGCAATAGCTAACTAATACACTCCCCAGCTGTTCTGGAGCAGTACCCTGTCACCAATTCCTGCAGATAAATGAGATAAATGGATGAATATTTGCACTAACTAGAACAAATGGTTAAAGAGTCTTTCTTTCTCTCTCTCTCTTTTTTTTCCTTTAAACTCTGGATTGAACCAGGAGCACTGAGCCACATCCCCAGCACTTTTTATTTTTTTTATTTTGAGACAGGGTTTCACTAAATTGCTAAAGCTGGCTTTGAACTCGCCATCCTCCTGCCTCAGCCTCCCGAGTCGCTGGGATTATAGGTGTGCTCCACTTGCACCCAGCCCCCTCAGACTTTTTAACCAGAACTAAATTACTGGGTGTTTTGTTCCTAGTCTTTCAGACAAACACCTCAGGTCGCAGGGAATAACTTTGTGCAGTCAGCCCTCTGAATATGTGGGATTCACATCTGGGAATTTAACCAACCAAGGATCAAAAATATTTGAGAAAAAAAAAATTGCATCTGACTGAACATGTACAGACCTTTGCAGAACTGGGATGGAACCCAGGGCTTCCTCATGCTGGGGGAAGCTCGGGAAACCTCTGCCACTGAGCTACATTCTTAGCCCCAGACATTTTGTTTGTTCATTATTTCCTTAAATAATACAACGTAACAACTATTTAATTAGCATATACATTGGATCAGATATTACACATCATCTAGAGATGACTTCAAGTCTACAGGAGGCAAATGTTAATGCTACTTTATATACGAAGTTTAAGCATCTAAGGATTTTGGTATCTGTGGGGGGCCCTGGAATCAATCCCCAGATTCCAGGGAACAACTTCTCATGCAAGCGCAGAGCCTTGTGGGTAACTCCCCGGGGGGAAATCTCAGGATGTAGAGGAAGCGTCTGTCACATCCTCAGTGGTCTCCAAAGCACTCTCCTGCGCTCAGGCAGCTTGGTCAGTATTTTTAGCTCCTTCTTCAAGAACCTTCTGTCCCTGTCCTTACCCACATACCCCCTGGATGCTTATCCATTCCTATCACGTTTCATTAAGCCCCCATGGAGCATCCCTATGCACCAGGCCCTTGACATGCTAATGTTGGGGGCACCATTATCACGCTCACCATTTACAGATGAGGAAACCGAGGCTCAGGTCTGAAAAAGGACTTGCCCCAAGCTGCCAGGCTCTGGTGCCCATGCCAGCCATTGCACCCGCCACCTTCCCAGGGACACCTGGAGCTGACTTCACCCACATCCACCTGCATTCCCACTGGCTCAACGTCTCCACATAGAAATTCTGGGCTATTTCTAGGCTTCTGTAACCTCTGAGCCTCTGGAAAAACTGTGTTCTTTTAGATGCCCACAGCTTTTGTGCAGGGTCTTTTTTTTTTTTTTTTTTTGTAGTTGGACACAATCCCTTTATTTTATCTATTTTTATGTGGTAGTGAGGATGGAACCCAGGGCCTCGTATGTGATAGGCGAGTGCTCTACTGCTGAGCCTCAGCCCCGGCCCCAGCATTTCTGCATTTTCTACACATCTTTTTCCACATGAGGACTTTTCTTTAAAGAAAAATAACCTGTTAATTTGATAGATAACTACCTCAGTGTCTTTTCAAAATTGCTTTGATGGCTAAATTGAACTTGTTATTGGCCATATGTTTGTGATTTTTTTTGTTGTTATTTTTATGGCTAATTGTTCCTGTGTTTTACCTACTTTTCCCTTCAGGAGTGTTTAGGGGTTTCTTGTTGATAAAGAACAACTCTTTGTATATTAAGGATAGTAATGCTTTGTGATACAGGTCATGATTTTTCCCCTCCTCAGCTTGCTGTGAGCTTTCCTGGTTTAGTTCTCTCTCCAAAACTTTTTTTTTTTGCAAGGAAGGGTGCTGGGGGTGGAACCCAGGGCCTCTGAGCAGCCCCTCTCCCCTGGAGCTTTCCTCAGTCCCCAGTCTTAACTGGGTATCAGGTTTCTGTGCTGAGACAGGAGCTCAGTTACTGACTTCCCTCTGCTTGCCAAAAAAGTCATCTGTTCACCGGAGGTTGGCAGCTACTCCAGTGTCACAGCCTGGCCAGCGGCTTCCGGAGCTGGCCTCCGAGGGATTTCCCTGGGGTTCCGCTGCGGTCGGCTTTCAGAGGGACCTGTACACTCCGGATGATTTCCTTCCTTTCTGATCTGGGTTTTCCGTCTTTCCCAAGAGAATGAGAGAAGCCTGAGCTTTCCAGACTTTTCTTCCAACTCTACTTTCTGAGCTAAATTTGTGCTGCGCTTCTCAGGCTGGAGGCGTGGCTGGGCGGTAGAGCCCCTGCCTGGCCTATGGGACGCCGGTGGCCATCCTCAGCCCCGCCAAAAGAGAGGCTTTCCAACCTCCAGCTGTGTTCCCCTTCCCGGGACAGGGTGCAGCTGTTAATTCTGGAAACACTGTAGCCATAAGAATTTGTTAGCCTTCCCCTCTTGACAAAGCCACTATTTGCCCTAGGGGTGTCTAAATCTTTCCAGATGGACGAGACATCGTGTCATCTTGTTTTTCTTAATAATATGAAAGCTCTTAAGCTCTTTCCTTATCCAATCCCGAGTATAAGCTTTTTTTGCCTTTTTATTGTGGAAAGTTTCCAACACACTCCTCACATCAGAGACCCCCGTGGGCCCTACCCAGATTCAGCAGTGACCGGTGGGCGACGGTGGGCGACGTTCCCTTTCCCAGTCCTCCCCCACCCCACACAATCATGTCACCAATCAAGATTCTTTCAGAATAGCCAAACAGTTACCTTGTACTGGGGAGTATTGTGGGCAAAAACGGAAAACGGGAAGACTGGGATGCAGAAGGGGAGAGTAGTCATGTGCCCCAGGTAGTTGGGCCTGGCCGGGGCTTTTCAGGTTAAGCCCACTTTCTTCCTTAGGCCCCGACTTCATCTTGGTTCCTTAAATTTCGGGTCCCACTGCCTGTTGTGCCCACGGGGCTGCACTCCACACGTGCCCCGAATTGGACAATATTGAACCGTCTCGCCCCCATCTTCGTAAATAAATGCTGTTTGAGCATCAGGCTTAAAAGTTCATTTTAAAGAACGACACAAACACGATTAGGCAGAACATTATAGAACCAGGCGCCGTGGCGCACACGTGTAATCCCAGCAGCTCGGGAGGCTGAGGCAGGAGGATCGCGAGTTAAAATCAGCCTCAGAAACTCAGGGAGGCGCTAAGCAACTCAGTAAGACGCTGTCTCTAAGTAAAATACAGAAAAAGGGCTGGGGTGTGGATCAGTGGTTAAAACGCGCCCCTGGGCTCAATCCCCGGTACCAAAAGAAAAAAAGAAAGAAAAGAAATTACATTATAGTATTGCAAAACAATCTCCCGGAAGGATTTCCATGGAAATGATGACCCTGCGGGAGGACTTGCTTAGGCACCGCAGTGTCTGGCTGCTCACGCCAGGCCTGCGGGTTCTCTCTGCCCTCATTTTACAGAAGGCGGACAGCCTCAGCGCGTCCACTGCGGGGGCTGGATTTGAAGGCGGGTTTCTGGGTGCCAGGAAGCTCAACCACCCCTAAGGAGAGGTCAGGAACCAGGATGGTAGAACACATGTTGCAGCCAAGGAAACTGAGACTCAGATCTTTTGGGTCCTAACTAGCCAGGTCCGTCTGCTGGCAACCCGGGTCTTAAACACGTGGAAGTTAGACGGCTCCTAAGGCTGACCTCCCGGAGTGAGCGAACGTCTGGATACCACGCCAGGCCGGCTCGTACGCGGCTCTCTGTGCCTTTAAGGAGGCAACGCGGGGCGGAGCTCTGAGGGCTGGTCCGTGACGTCACGAAGGGGCGGCCTCGAGTTGTCGGAGGGTCAGCGGCGCTTAGGGGCTTTAAGTGTTCAGAGGCGGAGCCTGGGAGACATGCCCAGTCGGCTAACTTGACGCCAAGCGTGCTCCTCCCCTTTAAGTCGCGCGTCAGAGGCGGTGCCTGGATGACCGATGACCCCTTTAAGGCGCGGCCCGCGTCCGCCGGCAGAAAAGCGGCTTAAAGGCGACGCGTGGCGCGATGGCGGCGGCCCCACGCGCGTGCCGGCGGCGCGGGCAGCCACTCCCGGGCCTGCGGCCGCCGCTGCTGCTCCTGCTGCTGCTGTTGCTGGCCCCGCCGCCTCCGGGGGGCCTGCCAGGTGTCGCCGCCTACTTTCCCGAGGAGCGCTGGAGCCCGGAGTCGCCGCTGCAGGCGCCGCGGGTGCTCATCGCGCTGGTGGCGCGAAACGCGGCCCACGCGCTGCCCGCCACCCTGGGCGCCCTCGAGCGGCTGCGGCACCCGCGGGAGCGCACGGCGCTGTGGTGAGCCCGCCCTGCAGCCCCCGGGGCCAGGTCCGCGCGCCCTGCGCCGCGGCTCCCGACTCCGGGCGGAGCCGCCCTCCACGCCCGGAGGACGCGCGGGACCCGCGCTCGGGACGGATCCCAGGCCTCGCGTCTGTCCCCGGCTGGGCAGCCGCCACCTCCCTGGGGGGCACCCACAGCTCCACAAGGCCTGGGCGCCCCTGGGCTTGGCCGTGGCCACATCTGAGGGAAAGGCTTCTCGGCTCTTGCTGCCCTGTTGGGTCTCCAACTTACCCTGGTTCCAGGGTGGCCCTGGGACTTGGGGCTCAGGCGGACCCGTCCTCTGATTTCGTGGGCCAGCAGGGGACCAGATGACAGGGGGAAGCGGAAGGCCAGCGCCGTGAGGATGCCTGACTGGTGACTTCTGCTTTCCTGCCTCGGTTTCCTCCGTGGAAAGGGGGGCGAATCAAGGCCGCTGGTTGCGCTTGCCTTTGGGGACAACCCGCCGGTGGCCGTCGTGCCTGGCGCAGGGTTGGCGCTCAGGAGCCACAGCTGGGGTCACTGTCTTTCCTGGTGTTGTCATTACTGGTGCCCTTAATGTTGAACAAATTTACTAGGGACAGTTAACTCTCCGCTTCATGGCCAAACTAGACTCCTCAGTGTCCCTCTCCCCGCTGCCCCACATTCCCTAGTCTGGATCATCCAAGCATACATGTGGTGCTTAACAATTGTTTGTTGAATGACGTGTGAGCACAGCCCACTATGAGGTGTGTCGCTCACAGGAGAGAAGGAAGGCAGGCCGGGTGACTTTATGATATGTAGATTTTTTTTTTTTA